TTCTGCAACAATGGCAATACTTGTGGCTCCCTTCTGCCTCCTTTGAACAACCCGATTCATCGGCGACCTTTGTGCGACTGTTTTGAACGTGTTCAAAAATTCACGGCGACCATGGCGTCCATGGCGATGTCTGAACCTCCCGTGAACCACCTTGGAACGACCTCGGCAACCATTCTGCCTCATTTGAGCCTCCAACGACGACCTGGCACATTTTATGGTCGCACACGGGAGGCACAAAGGTCGCCATCCTGTGTAAAGGCCCCATAAGAGAACTCGGCCCCCGCTTCCGACTCAATACGGAACCGACCGTTTGATTCTTCTTTTCCTTATTTTTATAGGGGCAGACACCGGGTCCTCGCACATACACGTACATTAACGGACATCGGGGATTGTGATATAAGGAATACCGATACAACGAATTGTCTCGTGTTCTCGATCTCAACAAAATTAGTTACTGAGATACGATACCTCTCTGGGTAAAGATCGGAGGACACCTTCAGAGGACGTAGTGTCGGGTGAACTGTCTTAATTATCAGCCAATCGACGTACAGGGTTCTCAATTCTGGATACAAGTGAACGAGGCATTAATGTATCATGTATAATTTCTATATGTCGAAAAAGATATGAAACGACAACTTCCGAATGGACATAATCTTACTGTTGTGGATATCTGAAACACCCTGTCGTTTCTGAGCGCCATGGCATCTACAACCAAAATGGTGTACAATAGAATGAATATGTGTGTTCTGTGTGTGTCCCCAAATCTTCACCCAGAGCGTTATCGCATCGGAGTAAAAGATCTGATTATAATGAGATTGCTCGTGTACTATACCTGTTGTGAGCTTGTAAAGTAACTTGGGGGAAATGCAACCGTGAGAACGACAAGGAGGTGTCTCTGCATTAATCAAACAAATATATCCAAGATATCCCATGCAAATCTATAATAGTTGGCAAGTCTAGATTACTGTAGTTTCTGAAAACGAAGAGAGTATCTGGGCTCCTTTTAATTATATTGTATTAAGATTATTTAACTTTGGTTTTTTGTAACATGTGTTCATTTCAGAGACTAGATTTTAATCTACGTCTGTATGGAAGTAATATTAGTAAAATATGTTCTTTTTTTCTTATGTGAAACAGCAGCCGGCGCAGACATGATGCTTACGTGTCCAAAACAGGTTCCCGTACTGAAACTTCGTTATTCGATTAAATAAAACAGAGCCTAACTGCATGAAATATGAGAGATATGAATCATAACTCTGTAAGGTCAATCTTGACATATATTGACCAGTCGTCTATTGATACGCCTAAACCCCTTTGCCATGAAGAATAAATATACTTTCAAGTCTTTTCAAATCAGACTCAACCACTGTGTTACTGAAACACCTGTCAACGCAGCTTCTGACTTATGACTTGCTTGCACACCATAACCTCAAATGCACAAATCGAGCTTCGAAAATGTTTCATTTTATGCAATAAATCACATTGAAACGCTGCCCCGGACGTGTCTCCACGCGCCATACATCATTGAAACTGACCACTGTAAGTTTCCCAGTACGGGGATCGCCAAGCCTAGGATCCCTGTAGGCTAGATACTTTATTGATAGGTCGAGGCTTTAGACAATAAATCTTTCAGTGCCTCTTTACACGTTGAAAGCATATGTCTGAAGATTAGAAAGCAGTGTCTCTACCTTAGTGTCCCAAGCCACGTGAGCGTGTCTATTTCAGGAGAACTGACACGCAAGAATATTGAACCACGTGAATCAGGAATTATGAACAGTCATCAATTTCAAGTTTTACTCGATAGTCCGACTGCAGTAATGAAGATGAATTGGGGCTGTGTAATTATCTGCCTTCAAAGTGTTATGTAATACGGATAAATTTTATTACCGTAGACTTTACGACAATATAGTTTTAACACGCTATCGACTTTATTGATAATTCTATACAAAGCTAAAACAAGACGCCATAAATTGTATTAGCGTTGGATTCGAAAGAGAATTTACATAAATGAAATAATGACTTATTGATTGCAGATTGATTAAAATATCAAAGTTTATTGATTACTTAATCAATCTATATTTGAGGGCCTAGATAGTGATTATTCCATCATGTAAATGGTGTTTGTGGCTTTTTTTTTTATAAAATCAAGGATTGATTATATTCATGTGTAGAAAAGTGATCATGAGAGAATTTTGAGTTAGTGACATATCGAAATATGACAACGTTACATTTACAAGATCAGAAGTGAGTTTCAAGTCATTAAAAACCTCAGTTTACTGGAGATACATATATTCGCATGAAAACACAGAAACGTCCAGGGGCGGTTGGGTAGCCTAGAGGTCAAAGCGTTCGCTCCCCACGCCGAAGACCCGGGTTCGATTCCCGACATGGGTACAATGTGTGAAGCCCATTTCTGGTGTCTCCCGCCGTGATATTGCTGGAATATTGCTAAAAGCGGCGTAAAGCCATACTCACTCACTCACTCACCAGAAGCGTCACAACAGAATGAAAGCACCGATTCATGAAAGTGAGTGAGTGAGTGAGTGAGTTGGATTTAGCGCCACTAAGAACCAGGATACATCTAAGACCTGCATCAATTCAGTCTTACCTCCCACATCAAGCTTACATGCCGCGATATAACTGAAATACTGTTCAAAGTGGAGTTAAACCCTACTCACGCAGCAGCATCAACTGAAATGCTCAGAAGAAATGATGATCAATGCAAATCTCCACAGATGACGGTTACTACATGATGAAAATGACCTTTGGATGAAAATGTGTAACAGCTGAAATATCGGGAAAGTCACATTTTGCCACAACAAAGAGTTTTCGTCGAAGCAGAGGTGAAAGAGGGGATATGACAGCCTCCTTCAAACATCTCGCCGACAGATAAAATCTGCAGATTACCTTTGAGTGTTTACAATACGATAAATCAATGAACAAAGCGGTTTTGAAAATGCAAGCTATTGAACAACGATTGTGTGAGTGTTGGATACTTCAGATCAAACAAGATCAAACTTTACAGAAATAAGTCTTGATGCTTCAATTTTGTTGGAGTAAAACCTACGGGTGTCCCCAAATTTAAGATAATTGGGGATATTAATTGAGTGAGTGAGTGAGTTTGTTCTGACGCTATTTCATTTAAAACTACTTCAATTGAAGACATGATTCTTTTTATGGATAATAACTTCTATATTCTTTGTAGCATTCTTTGTATATCAGTGTTATCACGATTGGTGAGGTGAGGTGAGGTGAGGTGAGGTGAGGTGAGGTGAGGTGAGGTTTAACGTCTCCTTCAAGATAATTATACTTAATATACTCTTAGCGCCTTTTAGTATGACGCGGGTGTGTGTGTGTGTGTGTGTGGGGGGGGGGTCATACCAGGCAGACGCTCTACCCACAAAACCACGGAGGTCCATCACGATAGAACAGATGCAGGTTGGATGAATGTCCAGTCAGGCAGATATGAAACGTGTGTACTTTGTTAAACCCACGAGATGGGTTTTAATGCTTGCTGTTTAGGGTCTGGACCGGGGTTCGAACCCAAGAGCAGCGGATCCTGACGCAAGGGATGCAACTCTGCACAACGACGTATTTAATCCAGTACTTTTAGAAACCCTTTTTGAAAACACACTGAACACTTTGCGAAAGGGGATATTTTAGTTGAAATATGTGTACTCGATGGCTTAAAACGGCTGTTGAAACTTGTCCATTTCGGCGGGGAAACAAGCATGAGCGTTATCTCACGTTCATAAACCCAGATATACATCAATGGCTGCAAACGCGTTTGGCATCTAGTTATCTGTATCACGTTGCCTCCTAGCATAAGGATTCAATCAGCATAATTACGAGAGATAGTGGTACAGCACAACAAGCGTGAGTTTGGCGAGTGCACTGCACAGCTTCTGCGCTCCACGCCCGAGGATCCTGTCGGTTGAGGTATGTGTGGACACGATGCTGGTTTTATTTGAACGCCGGGTGATAATACACTTGTCAGCTCGCTGCCTTCGTCTCACGACCGACAGATTAGATTTTCAAAAGTGTTCTCATTGAAAAACAGTTTTCACTAGTACGACCTTGTGACACATACGCTATAGTAATTTTTATGCATTCGTGATTGTTTTAAATTATTTACAACATAACAATATGCCTTAAAGGTACTAAAATATTGAAATTTGGGAGAATGAACACATTAAAATATGATTTAGAGGATGAATTTAGTCTGTTTATAATAATATTTGGAAGTCTATACATTTGTTCAGAGGAACTGGACGAATTTGCCATGCGCGTCGGGTGCCACCGGTGGGGCAGGATACGCTCACTTTTACACGAATACCACCCCCGCAAACAAGTACGCATGGACCCAACTTTGGGTATAGAGTGGGCGATGTGATGTAACTTGGGAAGGGTTTGGCCAACTGTGTTCCAATAAGGTCCCAACATATATTACACAATATATAGATGTTATCACGCGAGTGTACTTTGGGATAGTTGATTAGGAGTACACATCAGTGAGTGAGTATGGTTTTACGCCGCTTTTAGCAGTATTCCAGCAATATCACGGCGGGGGACACCAGAAATGGGCTCCAGAATAAACATGATTACATTATCGGGCCCTGGTTCATCAATAGTGGCTCGTGATACATAAACACATGCTCTTGATAGTCAGAATCGTACAATGGACTCTGCTTTTGGTAGAGATTTCTTACGATTATGGGGACCTTTTTGTCGCTTTTATTTAGAGGAACTGTTTAGAGTCAGGAACGGTTAGGAGCATAATACTATATACATGACTGTATATAATCTTACTACTCCTCTTTGGGTGGTCGGGTAGCCTAGTGGTTAAAGCGTACGCTCGTCACACCGAAGACCCGGGTTCGATTCCCGACATGGGTACCATGTGTGAAGACCATTTCCGGTGTCCCCCGCCGTGATATTGCTGGAATATTGCTAAAAGCGGCGTAAAACCATACTCACTCACTCATTACTACTCCTCTTACCGTTCTACCACTCTAGCCAAGCGTCTGTCTGTCTGTCGCTCTGCTTCTTGGTCCGTCTCTTTGTGCGGTCGTGCTGTTGGGTGTTACACATCACAAAATATTAATCCCTTAATCATTCATATCTCATTACAGAACACAGCCACCATACTGTGTACAACGAACCAACCCGTTCCCGACATCATCAAGTATTCTTCTACCTTACGATCCATATTATTTTGGATCGAATCTAATAATAATAATTGCTTTCACATTTTTGGACTTTAATCGAAAATCGATTTATTTACATGTTTTCAAGCGACTTTGTGAAATTAGATACCAAAAATAACTTCAGCAATATCAACTTTGAATTGGATTGCTGTAATTAACATTACGAAAATGAAATGAACATCATGTTGATATTGATTCCCCCGGGACATGAAATCAACACTGATGTGACGGTTGATGTTAATGTATGGACATCGCTAACCTGTTGCATTACACAGTATCATATAAGCCAGGTTTGATGTCAACTAAATATACATATATACGATGTCTATAGCAGTGATTGTCATACAGTCGCCACCGGGTGACCGTGTCTTAGATGTGTAGATAGCAAATCGACAAGGTAGTCATCAATTTCACTTCTCTGATCTCCTTATATCGGATGAGTGACATGGGTTAATAGACACGTACTCTTGAGGTAGACAGAGAGGCGATCCGCGGGAGATTCAGTGTCCATTATAACCTTAGTGGCTTCTGTAGGATAGCTGCTACGATTTAACTGTGCTCAAGCAAATGAACAGATTTCTTAGGAGATTTCGACGTAATTTGTCCGATTTCGTACGACGGATATACATTTTGAATGGTGGATTCACAGTTGACAACGAATTACATGAACGAAGAGGTCCACTACAGAAAGGGCGGGAGTAGGTCTTGCCATATTTAGGATCTTCAGTCCTGACAAGAATAAACTAGACATGCTGATTATGTTGGTTTTCGAAATGAGAAATTTTCAAAATGCGGATCGATGAAAACACTTCGCGAAAAACATGAACACTTCCTGACAGTGTTAATCTTAGGCTACGCATTTATATCAAATCGTCATAGAGGAGTCTGCATTTCGTTCTAACCGACGTCCCGATTTTGCATTACTTTGTCATATCAATTTCAAATTAAACTATTTAATCCAGTTTTCTGTAAAATGTGGCTTAAATGCTGCGACGCAACCTCATACACTAACATGCATTTGTGAACGTGTAACGTTAATGACGATGTATGTCTGTCCAGCACTGAGGGTAAGGTCACGAATTACCTCAAAACAACCCTATCTGGTATGTTGCCGTCGTACATATAAGCCATATGCAATATACAAGCCGACAGTTTGCATACATACATATATATTTCATACCTCGGTATGCCTTTTGCATATATATGTTACACCCACTCGGTGCAACCGTTTGTCCAATGCGTCCAATGGGCAATACAGCTTGCCCTACGCACTCAATGTGCAAACAATTATCTGAAGATGCAATGGGCAATAGTTGTGAATGAATTTTAAATAATTCGCCAAATATTTCACAATATGGGCAAGCAGCTTGGGTGTAACATAATAATTATATAGAACGCCTACGCCGGAGAATAACCTCGGTTATCCGACGAAACAGGGGCAATTGTTTTCGGTATTTTAGTTAATAAACCACTGACCTACCCCCCCCACCCCCCCCGTAATAAATGACCGGTTTCTTACAACTACACCTGTTTAGGCTGAACTGTGGAGGAATATCAGTGAAATCACCACTTAACTTCGAAAGTAACGAATTAAAAATAATAATGTATTCGTTACATCCAGTGTTCAGAGTCATGTTAGTACAACATTAAAAGTTATAGTTGTGTAGCCGATGTTTCGGTTCCCAGATGCACTTCACAAGGTGTTAACAAGGACAAATAAAAGCTATTTGTATTACCGCACAACGAAATTCTAGTATGTTGTTCCCAGTGTATCAGATATATTCAATTTACCCTGAGAGAATGGTGTGATACATTATGAGCCTCGTAGTGATGTTCTTCATCTCTTATTTTGTTCAATCTATTCAGATTTATTTGCTCGCGGGCCATGGTTAGATTTCTTTAATTGGTTTCAACATTTTTGTGTAGGTAGGGTGAATGTTTTATCAAATATTTGGTACTTCATGTCAAAGGAACTAAAGGGTCACTCTGTGCGTCTTTTGTTGTCTAGTGTGGATGTCAGACGTTGACTGTCGTTTGTCCTCCGTGTGACTTTTTATTGGACATCTGTCAACGCTTCGCGATTCAATGTGAAGTTGGGAATTGGTTCAAAGATCACTAGTCTCCCGTCAAATAAAGCGGTTAAATCGAATATTCCCCGCAGTTCAATCTACCAATGTTGACTAGCAGCCGGACTCAAGAGTCGTTGAATAGGGTCAAGTACCTGGCTCTTCAGAAATGAAACCGAAACTTTAATATGAATTCGACTATCGACAATCGACCAGTGATCAGTGAGTGAGTGAGTGAGTTGGCTTTTACGCCGCTTTAACAGTATTCCAGTTAATCACGGCGTGTCAGCTTAATGTGGGAGGAAAGCCCGAAGTGATGAGCGATCAGTTAAGCCTCTCTTTTATAACTTCTACTTTTTATATATTAAGTTATAGTAAACGGCTTAGTGTTTCCTTTTCAAAGTCGTATGTACATAACTAGAGGGATATATCATCTGTTGGAACAAACACATAATATGAAGCGGTTATGGATATGGATATGCACAATAGCCCCTTGCGGTTTGACGTTGTCCTAAGCCAGAAGGAGAGCCTAAAGTAACCTACATTGAAAACATGTACTGTACTTCGGGTACTGCGTGACGAACAGACGGTACAAACATGAGAATATACTTCAAACCGTGGTCCGCGGTACAAACAAGAGAGTGTCTGCCAATTCACCAAGTGTTCCATGGGACTAACATGAAAATATTCGTTAAACCGCCATGTGTTCCAAGGTACAAGCAGGAGAGTGTCCGTCAAACCGCCATGTGTTCCACGGTACAAGCAAGAGAGTGTCCGTCAAACCGCCATGTGTTCCAAGGTAAAAGCAGGAGAGTGTCCGTCAAACCGCCATGTGTTCCACGGTACAAGCAAGAGAGTGTCCGTCAATCCGCCCTGTGTTCCACGGTACAAGCAAGAGGGTGTACGTCAATCTGCCATGTGTTTCACGGTACAAGCAAGAGAGTGTCCGTCAAACCGCCATGTGTTCCATGGCACAGCAAGAGAGTGCACGTCAATCCGCCATGTGTTTCACGGTACAAGCAAGAGAGTGTCCGTCAAACCGCCATGTGTTCCATGGCACAGCAAGAGATTGTACGTCAATCCGCCATGTGTTCCACGGTACAAGCAAGAGGGTGTCCGTCAAACCACTATGTGTTCCATGACACAGCAAGAGCGTGCACGTCAATCCGCCATGTGTTTTACGGTACATGCAAGAGAGTGTACGTCAATCCGCCATGTGTTTCACGGTACAAGCAAGAGGGTGTCCGTCGAACCGCCATGTGTTTCACGGTACATGCAAGAGGGTGTCCGTCAAACCGCCATGTGTTTCACGGTACAAGCAAGAGGGTGTCCGTCAATCTGCCATGTGTTTCACGGTACAAGCAAGAGGGTGTCCGTCAATCTGCCATGTGTTCCACGGTACAAGCAAGAGGGTGTCCGTCAATCTGCCATGTGTTTCACGGTACAAGCAAGAGGGTGTCCGTCAATCTGCCATGTGTTCCACGGTACAAGCAAGAGGGTGTCCGTCAATCTGCCATGTGTTTCACGGTACAAGCAAAAGGGTGTACGTCAATCTGCCATGTGTTTCAGGGTACATGCAAGTGGGTCTACGTCAATCCGCCATGTGTTTCACGGTACAAGCAAGAGGGTGTCCGTCAAACCGCCATGTGTTCCACGGTACAAGCAAGAGGGTGTACGTCAATCTGCCATGTGTTTCACGGTACAAGCAAAAGGGTGTACGTCAATCTGCCATGTGTTTCACGGTACAAGCAAAAGGGTGTACGTCAATCTGCCATGTGTTTCACGGTACAAGCAAGAGGGTGTACGTCAATCCGCCCTGTGTTTCACGGTACAAGCAAAAGGGTGTCCGTCAATCTGCCATGTGTTTCACGGTACAAGCAAGAGGGTGTACGTCAATCGGCCATGTGTTTCACCGTACATGCAAGAGGGTGTCCGTCAATCCGCCATGTGTTTCACGGTACAAGCAAGAGGGTGTCCGTCAAACCGCCATGTGTTCCATGGCACAGCAAGAGAGTGTACGTCAATCCGCCATGTGTTCCACGGTACAAGCAAGAGGGTGTCCGTCAAACCACTATGTGTTCCATGACACAGCAAGAGCGTGCACGTCAATCCGCCATGTGTTTCACGGTACATGCAAGAGAGTGTACGTCAATCCGCCATGTGTTTCACGGTACAAGCAAGAGGGTGTCCGTCAAACCGCCATGTGTTTCACGGTACATGCAAAAGGGTGTCCGTCAATCTGCCATGTGTTTCAGGGTACAAGCAAGAGGGTGTCCGTCAATCCGCCATGTGTTTCAGGGTACAAGCAAGAGGGTGTCCGTCAATCCGCCATGTGTTTCACGGTACAAGCAAAAGGGTGTCCGTCAATCTGCCATGTGTTTCACGGTACAAGCAAAAGGGTGTCCATCAATCTGCCATGTGTTTCACGGTACAAGCAAAAGGGTGTCCGTCAATCTGCCATGTGTTTCAGGGTACAAGCAAGAGGGTGTCCGTCAAACCGCCATGTGTTCCATGACACAGCAAGAGCCTGCACGTCAATCCGCCATGTGTTTCACGGTACATGCAAGAGAGTGTACGTCAATCCGCCATGTGTTTCAGGGTACAAGCAAAAGGGTGTACGTCAATCTGCCATGTGTTTCACGGTACAAGCAAAAGGGTGTCCGTCAATCCGCCCTGTGTTTCACGGTACAAGCAAAAGGGTGTCCGTCAATCTGCCATGTGTTTCAGGGTACATGTAAGAGGGTCTACGTCAATCCGCCATGTGTTCCATGGTACATGCAAGAGGGTCTTCGTCAATCCGCCATGTGTTTCACGGTACAAGCAAGAGGGTGTCCGTCAAACCGCCATGTGTTCCACGGTACAAGCAAGAGGGTGTCCGTCAAACCGCCATGTGTTCCACGGTACAAGCAAGAGAGTGTCCGTCAAACCGCCATGTTTTCCATGTACAAACACATAAGAGAATGTTCGTCAAACCGCCATGTTTTCCATTTACAAACACATAACAGAGTATTCGTGAAACCGCCATATGTTCCAAGACATGGAAAGGAGAGCGGATCCGTTAAACAGCCATGTGTTCCAACAGAACGGTGATCTTACAACAACAAAAAGCCCAAAGAAAAAACAAACCCAAAAACGATTTTCCCTTATTTGGATTGTAAAAATTGGAAACATAATTAGTTTGACATTTGAAAAGGTAGTTTGTAATTCATGCACACCCTTGTACGTTCCTTTGCATGAGCTATTTCTTTTTCTTCTATCTGAAAACGTTTTGAAATATGTAAGCAATATTATTTAAAAAATAGCAAAATTTAATAATGCGCGGTTATCTTAGATCAAATTAATAAGATTTGTGCCAGGAAATAGCGATGTTATATTGATCGTGAGTCTCCCCACCGAAACTTTATCCTTCTAAAGACATCGTTCCAAACCGATGCGAATCAATTTC